ACACACACACACACACACACACACACACACACACACACACACATGTATATATCTCATACGTGCATGACGTAACAGTTTGTCGCAGTTTGTCTAGTGGCCATTTTGTTTTCGATCGCACGGCTGGCTAAGGTATTTTATATAAAGATATTTCGTGTACTTGTAGATTATTTGGGCATCTAATGTAATAAACGAACTATTTGAGAAGTTCTCAATGAAATATTGTACACATTTACGCGGATATTAATTTGTACATTAACTGAAGATCTTATTTCGTTTTGGGTAAGGGTTTTCTATCAAATTTCGTGTTCTCTTATTCTGTTTCATTCACTCTTTGATCATTCCTAAAATTTGTAATTCAGTAAAAATAAATTACAAAAGTGTATCGGAGAATGTCGTAAAGCTTTTTCCTGTTTTGTCAAATCTCTCTCTCTCTCTCCACTATAATTTATAGAAATAAAAATCATGCTACTTGGACACCAAATATGTTCAATAGTGTTAAATATTTGACTGATTCTTTTATTGATATCAAAAATATACTCTACATTATTGATATTTTCAAAATGTCAAACGTTAGTCGCTATAGCTTTTAAAAAGTGAACACAAATGTTGTATGTTTGAAGTATTACATTGTTAAAAAATTGATTTCAATTGATTATCATAGATGATATCATTTATAATGTTTCTGAAAATGTAAATAATATTTTTAATATAGATAGAAGAATATAGAAANACAGTGTACAGTACATATGTTAACCAAAAATCATAAAATACATATTTCAACTTAAAAAAATCACTATTAACATATTATGAAAAGAAAGAGGAAGTATAGTGAAGAAACAATTATTGTTTGTGATAGTGTATTTAGTGGTGCAAGAGACAAATGGATTAAAAGCGAGAGACAAATATGTAGAGAGTTTGCCTTGTAGCAAAAGAGGGAAGGGTAACAATTTATAGCACTTTCAATAAACATGATAGATTAAGTATTCCTTGTAACTTGTTAAGCAGCGACAGTATGGTTAGATACACAGAATTTGGAACTGGGCATACTCAAGCAATTGTTGGGGAGAAACTAAAACCTATGACAGCACCATATGACCCAAGATTCCCAAATCAAAACCAGACAAGGTAAATCAATGATGAATGTGCATCATTCTTTTATTATCTACAACTATTTGCTTTAAAGTTATTTACTTCTGTTTATTTTGAATGCAGATATTGTTTCACTAGTTTCGTGGATTTTCAACGTTGTAAGAATCGTCATAGCGAACAGTATGAGGCTTGTCAATACTTCCAAAAAGTATACAGGGCAATGTGTCCGAACGCTTGGTTAGAAAAATGGGAAGAACAACTTGAAAGTGGAACATTTCCAGCAAAACTGGATTAATACATCAAAGGCACTGTATTGTGATTGCCTCCTTAGTAACATTCTTTATATGACAACAGGAGTTTTGAAATTCTACCTGTTTGTAAAATAATCTTGAATAAATTAATGTTAGTTTAATTTTTATTAATTTTCATCAGTCAATGTTGGTTTCATTCTATAATTATGAGATAGAAATAAACATGTAACAGACATTAAATATCAATTTACTGTAAAATTGTATAAACATTTGGATGTTAATTTATTTTTGTTGAAAAATTTTTAGACATCTATAATATCGATTCTTTTTATGTAGTTAACCTCAAGTTTAAGGTTTTACACTATGTTCTCATATATAATAGAGAAATTCTAGACGATATGGAATGAATACTGTAAATGAAAATTAAGAATTTAATTTGCGTTATGTATTACCGAAGGTTCTCTGTCAAATAATCATTTCGATATAATTAACAACGAGTCGAGGTCTGTCTGCAGTCTGTCTCAGTCTGTCTATAACCAGTACAACACATGGGTCGACTGTGGACCCGTTTCCCGAATTGGCCGCAAGGTGCAGCACTTTTGTTGCGGTTTCACTTGAGAACAAAGAACTGAGCATTCTCAGTCTTCTCAGTCTCTCTCTGGTTGTAGTCAGTTGGTTACTTGGTTGTAGTATACTGGTTTTTCCGAACCGAATGGCGAATATCCTGGAATATCCTTCCATTTGCAAATGTTCTTCAGCGGAATCAGTTACAATTTTGCAGTAGCTATTAGTTAAAAGTAGAGTTTATAGTAGTACTACAAGTAACATCTAACGTTTAAACGACAAAACCAGAAGGTAAGTCTCTTATTTAAAACGATCACGAGCACATTTTTGGCACGTGACTTGATTAAGTAATCCTGGCGTCCATAACGAGTAAGATTTGAGATACACTTTATATTTTATTTTGTTTGGATTGAATGATATTAAAAAATGATTTCACAAAAATAAATTACACGTAACGCTTATAAATATTGTTTGTCGTTAAATTATTCCTACGTGTATGATTGTTG